AAGCAGTTCTAACGTTCTCTATAAAAAAGCTTCAAAATGGCCACTGCATCAAATGTGTACATGTCCAAAAATGAGACCAGAGGGTGAGACATAACCCAAAAAGCGAACATGGAAACCTGTCAAAATGTATATAGTGATGAAAGGTATAGAGGTCTTTACTACGTGTCTGGCACCACAATAGCCCCCCCCCACACCCCAGCCTGCAAGGACCAGTTGCAGAAAAAGTCCTGGTCAGCTCCAGTAACCCATAGGATACAACATGCTCAGTTGCTGTGTGGGACTACCACATGTGTGGCACATTAGGAGCTTTGTGGGGATAAAGCATGCTCAGTGTAGATAGAATCTTTGGCAAATAATGCTCCCAAACTCTAATAAACCCCTGAGGCCTGGTCTACATTACAAAGTTAGGTTGACTTAACTACATTACTCAGGACTGTGAAAAAATTTGTTCTCTGCAACGTAGTTAAACCAACTTAATCCCCAGTGTAGACACCGCTAGATTTATGGAAGAATTGTTCTGTTGACCTACTGCCTCTTGGACAGGTGGATTTGCTATAGCAATGGAAGACACCCTTCTGTCTCTATAGTATGTGTCTACACTACAGTGACACAGCTGCCGCACTGCATCTGTGCCACTGTAGCGTTTCTAGTGTGGACATGCCCCCAGTATGTGCAAACTGCTTTTTTTCCCAGAGGCTTATAACTTGACCAAGTTTTGGCAGATTATATAGGGATGACAGAAGGCACACCTCTGATACCAGGGTGACCCCCCTCTGTCAAATTTAAAATTCCTGTTCTACAGCATTCAGGGGCTTGAGCTTCTCAATAAAACAGCAATAAGAATTTTTTTTTTACATTTATATGAATCTAACAAGAATATTACCAAGATTTTTTTAACCTTGTTTCTAGGGAAGGGGCTGACTGGTTTTGACTGAAACAAAAAAACAAAACAAAACAAAAAAAACCCCTTAGCCTAAGCCAGATACCAGCATGGAAAAGTTTGATCCAAACAGTTAAAGTTCGGCAAAGTTATTCATTGAAAATGCACTGTTAACCAACCCTAACTATAGGTGGTGCTACTGGCTTTGCCTATATTTATTATGTTACCTTTAGAATCTAAGTTGGGCTAAAAATGTGAGGCTTTGCATTATGGATATAGAAATGTCTTCCAAACAAAAATAACTAAAATGGATAAATCGTATGAACAGCTTGCTCCAGGGCACCACAAAGCTACTCCTACAGAGGAGCCAGCCAGAGTCTCTACCTGATAGGACTAGAAGCAGACAAAGCCGGGACTGCTGCTCTGTGAGGAAGGGGTAAAATGGGCCCAGCTGGTGCCATCCATCCCCAAAACACCCTCCTGGATTCAGAACTGTGCAGGGTAGACCTTCCTTTCCACTGTGGGGGCACTAGGACCCAGGCAGGCCTCCCTTCCCCAGCACCATGTGAGCTGCAAAGAGGAGTCAACCAAAGCAGAGACTTTTGGTCCCCTGGACATTCCAGTCAAAACTGCAGAATGTTCTGACTTTCTCTGTCCTGTGCTGATTGGCTGTTTGCCCCAACCCTCCCCTGGGGTCTGTTCACTTCAGCTTCACTCCACATCTTTCCCTCTTACTCTCCCCTCCCTTTCCTTTCAGCTGATGCCTTCCTAAGTAAAATCACCCCATCCCCCTAAAAAATCATGGAAGTGACATGATTTTTGCTGCCATCACATTGCTCACTCTGCTTGTGTGTTATACCCTTCTTCCATCCTATGTCTGCCTGGTCTATTTAAATACTATTGTCTCATTGTTTCTTTGTACTCCACCATCAGTCAGTATCCATCTGTTTTCTCTTGTCTTAGACTTTAAGTGCTTTGGGACAGGGTCTGTCTTTTTGTTCTGTATGTACAGAGCATAGCACAATGGGGTCCTGGTCCACTCCTAGACACTACAATAATACAAATAAATAATAATAATATTCCTGATGCTTCTCCAGCTCCTCATGTATCTGGATGTTTTCTAAAATTCCTTTTTCAAAACCCTTTGAAAATTACAATGCTTGAAACTCTAACGGGCCCTTCATCTGTCTGTTTCTGCAACCTCATATGAAAATTCCAATTTAGAGAGGGTTTGAGGATTTTTTAATCTCAATTAGTGTTGTAACTCTACTGACTTAAACTGAGCTAATCTCAATTTACACCAAGGTAACTGAATTCAGAATCTGACCCTTTAGAAAGGAAAAGTGTTTTGCCATACACACATCACCTATCCAGCACTGTTCAAGAAATGGTGCAATTGTTCTGATCCTTTAAAAATATTCAAATTTTGTACAGATCATGAGAAAAAAACAATAAAGTTTAAGACCAATATTTTCAGAAGTGATCACTGATGCAGGGTGTCTCTGTAATGTGGAATCCAACTTGAGACATCTTATACCTGATTTTCAGAGGTGATAAGAAATCAAGCACAAGGGGCTAGATTCACAAAGGGATGCCTAAACCCAACATTTAGGCACCACTGAGATCCTCAAACCCCCTGCTCAGCTGCCACCTAAACTTGGAGGCACCTAAATTCCCTAGGTGTCACTATTTCTGTGGTATAGTCCCCTAGGTGCCTACATTTCCACAGGTGGTTCTCAGAACATGCTTACTGGTTCAGGCCCCACACTAAAGATGGCTTAAGGCAGCCAGAGCAGGAATATTGGCAAAAAATGTGTGTGTCCCAGAATACCCAAAAGCTCAGGCTTACAGCGCTCACCCAGGATATGGGAGACCTGTTTTCAAATCCCTACTCTGCCTGGTTTGGAGCAGGGACTTAATGGGTCTCCCACCACCCAGGTGAGTGCCCCCAAACACCAGGCTACTGGGTATTCTGGGGGTAGGTCTCTCTCCTCTGTTGCAACTGTTCCACTTTGTGTTAAACAGTTAAATATTACTTGGGCCAAAGAGAAAAAGAAAGAGACTGACTCGATAGCCGGGTGGCTAGGGCACTCAGCTGGGCCATGGGAGACTTAAGTCCCTGCTCCAATGAATTGTTTAATTATTTATACAAAGTGGAGCAGCTTGAACAGGAGAAACTGAGAATAACCTGGTGGCTAGGGCACTCACTGGGGATATAGGAGACCCAAGTTCAAGTCTCTGCTCCAAATCAGGTAAAGCAAGTATATGAAAACAGGTTTCCTACATCCCAGGTGAGTACTCTAACCACCAGGCTATTGCCTACGATAGCATGGAGGTCTCTCTCTGTTTATTCTTGAGAAAGAGATGACCTGGCTTAGGTGCCTATCTCCATGGCTGTGAATCCTGAGCAGAGATAGGCACCCAAAAAGCTATGTTCAGTGATGAGCTGCCAAAATCTTAACAACCAGTTCCCTTTAAAAAGTTCTGATTTAAGGGATATTCCACAGTGTGTATTTTTTGTACTTTTCTCCATAAGAAATGGCAATGCATTGAGTCATCATTGGGAGTCATACTTAACAATAAAAAAAACATTTTTACATGTTTATCAGGTATCAGTGAAGAACAGTTCAGTGATTGATACAAAGGAGAAAAATAATCTTATAATTTATGTTTTAAAATGGCCCACTGGACAAAACAAAACCCTACACGTTCACACTGAGATTAGGTTTTGATGTAAGTTCTGCTAGAGCTTTTTCTAAGTAGGTGAAACAGGACTGCAGCTGCAGGATAGGGGAGGGACAGTTCCCCCCCCCCCTTCTTCTGAATAGTGTTGTTAGTTTATGAAATGGAAACACTAGTAATACAGGACTGTAGTACAGGGTAACAGCCACCGGGATAGAAAAAAGCAAGTGCCCTATTATTTTTTAGTAAAGCACTGACCACAATTTTCCTTGTAACATATAATTATTAAAATACTCACGACCAACAATTCTAAAACATTGTCCCTATAATGGAAATTATATTTTTTTAAATTGCAAAAATATACAACTTTCTCCCAACAGCTGCCTACTTCCCAAGTAACCAGTGGAGGGAAGTGACACTATTTAATTAGAAAACTTGCAAGCAGATTTGGCTCTTTAGGCTGCCTCTCTGTCCCCTCTAGCTTTCTTCCTCCCTCCCCCCCCAATAATTGTGAGGTAGCTGTGGATGTTTTTCTTACACCCGACAAAACGTTGGAGCGTTGCTGAGCAACTGCCGCTCGGCCCGCCGGCTCTCAGCGGGAGGAGCTCAGCCCCAGAGACATCCTTGTGGGGCCGGGGGCCTCTGCAGGGCCCGGGGCAAATTGCCCCACTTGCCCCCTCCCCCCCCCCAGACAGCCCTGGAGCTCGCAGCCCCACCCCTTACCTTGCCGGCAGCTGCTCAAAGCGGCAGGACTCGGGAGCTGAGCTGCCCAGCTGCCGGCGGCTCGGCATACTGCGGCTCTGCGGGGAGCCTCGGCCTCCCCAGCTGGGACTCCTGGGAGCTCAGGTGGGGGACAGGACGGTCCGCCCGCGGACCAGAGTTGTTTGCCCACCCGCCCGCCACTTAACAGCCGGTTCTATACCGGTGTCTAATTTTAACAACTGGTTCTTGCGAACCAGTGGGAACCGGCTCCAGCTCACCACTGCCTATGTTGTGTCTAACACTGGTTAGGCCTAATCCCTCTCCTCAGCATTTTCTACTGTCTGTCTGAGGTAGCTACCCACTCACCTTGCTGGCTGCTGTGAACCCCATTCTTAAGCACATAACTCTCCTCATACACTGTGTAGGGAGTCTGCACCCCTCACGCAGGGTGAGAAGACCACTGGCCAGCAAGTTACCTAAAAGTTAGGCACTGCACCACTGAGCTTTGCAGTGCCTAAGTCTTTGTGGATCTAGGTCAAGAATCCAAAAGCAGGGCCACCTAGCATGAGTGAACACTTTTGAAAAATTTGGCTGTGAGGTTATTTTTTTTTTTTTTTACTCTAGCCACTGAGATTGTTTTGAAGATTTCAACCTTGATTTAGGCTTGGCTGTGTAGTATTAGCATAAGCTTTGATTAATAAAAAAACAAGACTGTTTCCTATTTGTAAAGCCTTACCTTGATCATACAGTCGCTGTGATTGTATCCAAGACACTTGTTCTCTTGGTTTTTCTCAGCTGGGTTGAAGTAAGGTGATTAGGGATAAGTAGAAGGCGAGAATGGGGGGCGAAAGAGCAAGCCCAAGTAGAAAGGTATATCAAGTGATTTTGGATGTTAAAAATAAAACTAGCACACTGAGCAACGTGACCACACGGCTCAGCTTACAGAGCTGTCCTTCCACTGTATTTATTAACAGTGTCATTGCTGGAGTGATATTTAATAAAAAAAACAGGAGAAGAGCTGACTCATTTCTTCGGTACTGCGTGCTTAGAGAAATGGACAATAACATTTCTCAGAGTTTCCTAAAGTACTGTACTGTAACTTTTTCATGTTTCCTGGAATTCTCCAATGAAGATCCCTACTCCTTCACCTTTAGAACTTGACTTCTTATTGCCCATATCATACTGTGCCTTTTACTGGCCTAGTTATCACTATATCCTCTGATCCTATTGCTGTGAACTCCAGTAATAGACACTAAGGGCTTGTCTAGACTACACATGTTTTGTCGATGCAAGTTACGACTACAATCAAAAACCGGTATAATTACATCCCTTGTGCATGTTCACACAACGCTCCTTCTGTCAGCAGAGCACATCCACAGTTGGTGCGCTAGCATCAACAGTGAGTGCAGTGCATTGTGGGTAGCTATCCCACAGTGCTACTTGCCACCTTCTGCCGCTAGGAGTTGTGGGAAGTTGGAGTGGATGGCAGTGCATCATGGGTGCAGGATCAATGTCCCATGATGCAGTTTTTTCCATCCCATCATTCCATGGGCTTCTGACTGCATTTCATGGCATTTTTCAGAAGCCATCTCTGTCTGAAAGGATGGATCCCACACAGCTCTCTATTGTTGTGGTCACTGTTATGAACACATTATGGTCATGCAGTATATCATGAACTCCCAATCTGAACAAGAATCAGAGTTGCCTGCTCTGCTGTGTGTCATGGAAAGAAACAACACCAGATTACTTCTGGCATTCACAGAGCAACTGAACATGGTGGAGTGTCAGTTCTGGGCTCAGGAAACAAGCATTGAGTGGTGGGATCACATTGTTATGCAGGTCTGGGATGACAAGCAGTGGCTACAGAACTTTCAGATGGGGAAAGCCACCTTCCTGGAACTGTGTGCAGAGCTTACCCCAGCATGGTGGTGTAAGGACACCAAAATGAGAGCTGCCCTCTCAGTGGAGAAGTGCATGGTGATCGCTGTGTGGAATGTGGCGACTCAAGACTGCTACCGGTCAGTCACAAATCAGTTTGGAGTCCAGAAGTCCACCGTTGGGGCTGCGTTATCACAAGTGTGCAGGGGCATTAATTGCATCCTGCTATGAAGAACTGTGACTCTTGTCAATGTGCGTGAAATAGTGGATGACTTTGTGGCAATGGGATTCCCTAACTGCAGAGGGGCGATAGATGACACGCATATTCCAATTTTGGCCCTGGACCATCTTGCAGCAGAGTACATCATTAGAAAGGGGTACTTCTCCATGGTATTGCAGGCGCTTCTGGATCACTGTGGGTGTTTCACTGACATCAATGCAGAGTGGTCCAGGAAGGAGCATATGACACTCATTTTCAGGAACACTGGGCTGTACAGAAAGCTGCAAGCAGGGACTTTCTTTCCAGACCATAAGATTCCAGTGGGGAATGTTGAAATCCTCATAGTGATCCTGGGAGACCCAGTGTACCCCTTACTCCCATGGCTCATGAAGCCTTACGTGGGAAACCTGGACAGAAGTAAGGAGCACTTCAACAATAGACTGAGCAGGTGCAGAATGACCGTAGAATGTGCTTTTGGCAGATTAAAAACATGCTGGCGCTGCCTTTATGGCATTCCTAAATGAGGAAAATATTCCCATCGTCATAGCAGCCTGCTGTGCACTCCATAATATTTGTGAGGCTCAGGGTGAAAAGTTTCCCCCGGGTTGGAGCGTGGAGGTGGATCGCCTGGCAGCAGATTTTGAGCAGCCAGATACCAGGGCTATTAAAGGGGCACAAAGGGGGGCTATTTGAATCAGGGAAGCTTTGTGGCAACATTTTGACAATGAGCACCAGGAATGTGCCATGCTTCGTTAACTTGCCGCCTTGCATGAAAATTGTGATTATTTCTGACTGGGATTTGTGGTCAGCAAATGATCAAATTGCCACTATGTATTACTACCAGCAGCAACCACCATTTCTAGGAGACAAATAAAAGTTGGTTATCTTTCAGATCTTTCAGCCCAGGGGGCTCCGAGAAGCTAAGTTGCTCAGGCTTTGGCTTCAGCCCTGGGTAGCGGGGCTTGGGACCCTGGGCTTCAGCCTATGCGGTGAGGCTTTGTCTTTCTGTCCTGGGCCCCAGCAACTCTAATGCCGGCCCTGCTTATGGCCCCCAGGGGGCTGCAGACCCCTGGTTGAGAACAACTGCTTTACAATGCACTCCTTGCTCTCCATTCTGTCCTGCCTGTCTATTTAAAATTTTTCCTTCAAGGTCTCTCTCCACTCCGTGTTCTCTTTTTTCAGCCTCTGAGGATTGGAACACCTCTTGAAACATGTCCTTTTTGCTCTACCTTGGTCTCTTCCTTATCTGGCTGAGGTGCTCCGCCAGTGTTTAGGGGGTTCCCCCAAAGACCACATCTGCAGAAGTGCAAGAAACAATAAACAAAAGCATGATTGTTAGTTCACACACAGCATTGAATCATTAAAGTAAAATACACCTTTTTTGACATATGAATCACTTTCTCACTGTCCTTTGGCAAGCACACATCTTGGCGAACATCCTAAATGTGGGGAGTGGCCCACGGGGGGAGGAAGGTTGTGTGCTCAAGATGGGACAAAGTGTCTAGTGGTTTTTTTAAGGGGATCAGTGAAGGCGACTAAGGACAATAATGTAAATTCTGCCACTATTTTCCACAGGTGGGGGGTCATTGAAGCTGATATCTCACTCCTGAGGGCAAGCAAGGATGCAAGGGTGCATCTCCTGCATGAATGCAGCTTCTGACCTGGTCCCTATACTGCTCACCTGTGTGCCGCTTCAGTGATTGCCAATTGGCACAGGAAAGTTTCCTACAATGGGTGAAGGAACAAAGCAGCTCTGCCAAGGAACCTTCAGCAGAGGATTGGTGAATACCTCCAGGAAAGTTTCCTAGAGATGTCTCTGGAGGATTCCTGTTAAATCTCAGTGTGCATCAACACACTGTTCTGCCACACTGCTTAGCTGTACAGGGGAATGTGAAGCACACGCAAACACAGTTAGTCTTGTACATTTCTATCCCTTCACCCACTTCTAGAATATACAGAGCAAAGGTAGAGGTGGTATTGCTGTCGAGGATGGTGTCCAGCTCTTTATAGAAGTGGCAGGTCTTCAGTGCAACACCAAAGCAACGGTTTGCCTCCCTTGCCTTCTGGTACCTGCCTCAGCTCCTTTATCCTGTTCATAGCCCTTATCCAACATGCCATGAGAAATCTGACCATAGGTACTGAAGTTCCTATGGCTGGAGTGGAGCTGGGATTGCACAGCCCCCTCTCCCACAGTGCCAGCAGATCCAAAAACTCAGGTGTGCTCCAAGTGGGGGAGCATTTGGTGCATGGAGCTGCCATGGTCAGCTGGGAAGATGTGATGTGAGCTGTCATAGATACTAGGACTGGAAGGGACCTCGAGAGGTCATCGAGTCCAGTCCCCTGCCCTCATGGCAGGACCAAATATTGTCTAGACCATCCCTGATAGACATTTATCTAACCTACTCTTAAATATCTCCAGAGATGGAGATTTTACAACCTCCCTAGGCAATTTATTCCAGTGTTTAACCACCCTGACAGTTAGGAACTTTTTCCTAATGTCCAACCTAAACCTCCCTTGTTGCAGTTTAAGCCCATTGCTTCTTGTTCTATCCTTAGAGGCTAAGCTGAACAAGTTTTCTCCCTCCTCCTTATGACACCCTTTTAGATACCTGAAAACTGCTATAATGTCCCCTCTCAGTCTTCTCTTTTCCAAACTAAACAAACACAATTCTTTCAGCCTTCCTTCATAGGTCATGTTCTCTAGACCTTTAATCATTCTTGTTGCTCTTCTCTGGACCCTCTCCAATTTGTCAGATCATTTTGAATTATGACTCTATCCTCCAAAGCAGCTGCAATCCCTCCCAGTTTGTTATCATCTGCAAACTTAATAAGCATACTTTCTATGCCAATATCTAAGTCGTTGATGAAGATATTGAACAGAGCCCTGCGGAACCCCACTTGTTATACCTTTCCAGCAGGATTGGGAACCATTAATAACTACTCTCTGAGTACGGTTATCCAGTCAGTTATGCACCCACCTTATAGTAGCCCCATCTAAGTTGTATTTGCCTAGTTTATTGGTGCAATTAAATGAATAAACTCAGTGTCTTTATGAAGACAGAACAGAGGAAGGCAAGCTTGATGAGTATTAATTAAAAGAATATTGAAGCAGTGATGGTGGGTTGGGGACAGCAGTTGAAAGATGAGTATAGTACCCCTGGATGAGACCATCCACCATTTGTACCCCAAATTCAGTTTTGGAACTGTATGATTCAGAGCTGCTTTTGGAATTTTAACTAACAGCTGTAGCTAAACAGGTCTTTTCCAAGAATCTGGATCTAGTTAGAGTGAGATTTTGTTTCTGTTACAGACCTTGCTATAATCACTCACTTCTTTACCACCTTGAGACAAGACTGGTATAATGAGCACTACAGGGGGTTGCAAAGAGACTATTCAGAAACTGGAGCTAGTGCACAATACAGATGGCCATATGATGAGCCAGCCATAATGTAGCAGCATATAACATCAATACTTCCAGGAGCAGCACTGCTTCCTGATAAGTTTGTCCATGCCAAGCAAACAGGAAGTGGAATTTCAAAAATTCCTGGGCCTTTAAAGGGGGAGGGACAGATGCCTGTGTACCTGGGTGCAGGGCAGCGAAGTTTTAATTGCTGACCAGAGTGGTCAGGATGGGCATTGTGGGACAGCTCCTGGAGGCCATTTACAGCAATATAACCAAGCACAGCATCTACACTACCACTTTGCCAGAAAAAGCTTTATGCCTCTTGTCAAGGTGGT